TGACTAGACCAGAGCATGTACACAGATACAGATAAGAACCCGCAACACAAGGAATCCAGGACAGATAAATCCCTCAGGACCAATAAGGAGAAAAGAGATAGCAGGAGGGGAAAGGGAAGGTGGGTGGAGATAGGAGGAATCCATCACAATGTGCTACATATAACTCCTTCCTAGGAGCATGGACAACAGAAAAGTGGGTGAAGTGAGACAGCGGTCGGTTTAAGATAGGGGGGGTGAATTTATAAATTATCAAGGGTTCATGAGGGATGGAGAGTAGGGGAGGGGAAAATGAGGACCTGATATCCAGGGCCCAAATAGAAAGAAGGTGAAGTGAGACAGCGGTCGGTTTAAGATAGGGGGGGTGAATTTATAAATTATCAAGGGTTCATGAGGGATGGAGAGTAGGGGAGGGGGAAAATGAGGACCTGATATCCAGGGCCCAAATAGAAAGAAGATGTTTTGAAAACGATGATGGCAACATATGTACAAATGGGCTTGACACAATAGATGGATGTTTTGATTGTGATACGAGCTATAAGAGCCCCCGATAAAATGATTTTTTTAATTACTTTTTTTTTTTAAATAAGAAGGAGGGAGGAAGGAAGAAAAGAGAAAGAAATCACTCTAAACTATAGCTTCGATGGCCTTGACTTTGGAGCAACATGGATTTCTGGCATTCCTGTCTTTTGAAGGCCAATATCCTACAACATTTTATCCCTAATGATGTATGATTCTCATTGCTCATTCCTGAAAGCGGCTTATATGGCAACTGTCCGAGTACGATTGGCAGACTAATCAGTGCAGGGTGTCTTCGGCTGCTGCTTGTTTTATGATGAAGCATCAAATCATCTAGATAAATTTGCTAATGGCTTTCGAGGCCAGGTTCCTAATGTCTCCTAATCGAACACTGTTAAAAAGCCATTATTCCCAATAAAATAGACTGTCTCCTCCAGTGTTTTGATAAGTACAATGCTTCGCTGTGCCAGTAGTCAGACCGTTGAGAGCAGACCATTCTGAGTTGTGTAAGGAACCCGTGCTGACTTCACCACAGAAATTCGTAATGTTAGTACTTTCTCCTCCTATTATGTCAGCATTTACCAAGCAAACATCATCTGTTTATATCTGCACCTCTTTCCCTGCCCCCCCACCAAAAAAAACAAAATACTGGACATCGTGTGACAAAGCAGCATTTATGTAATTTAATGCAGATTTATATGTTAACTTAGTGTGTGTGTCATGTTATCTTTCAAAAATAATCCTCTTAAGAGATGGGGGCTATATGTATTAACTTTGTTTAGCAACAAATTCAGGGTCATATTTTTATGAACACTGATTTTTTTGTTCTTGTTGCTCACTTGTTCAAAAATACATTACTTTGAAAAGCAATGGTTCACTATAGAAACCCTTTTAAACTATTTCCTACTTCAACATTGATGTTTATTGTATATTTGTTGTTGTACCATAAACACTTGCAGATTATCATTACTCATTACATAGCTTGTATGAGAAAACTACATGCTATTAACATAGAGCTGTAAATCACTGTCTTCTGTTAAATTTCAGTCAGGTGTACGTCTAGGAATAGGATTAGATTCGGCTGATATACCTCCCCATGCCCAATAAATTAAAAAAAAAAAGTGGCTTGAATAAAATAGCTGCACTCCTCATTAATGCATTGTTAGGCTCCAAAGACCGGGTCATGATATGAAAATTGGAGTTATGTGATCATGGAGAATGACTGACATTGCATAATTACCAAATCCCATCCTTACGTTACTGCCAAACCACTGAGACTCATGGTCCAACCAGGTTGACCCATGACCTTGCCTCACACCTTGGCATCTGTTACTGCCAGACACTTATCATGATTATGAAAAATAGTTTATTTTCCTCTCCAGTAAAAAGAGATCAGGCTGATGGAGTAGCCTCAACATGTCCTCTGCTGCTAGCTTGCACCTCTCTCATGCTGGCTGCTGGAGAGTCAGCCTTTGCATCAGCAATTGAAGCAGCAGGAAAGGAAAGGCACCAAATGCATTCACTCCTCTGAAGAAACGGGCCTCCGGGAAGTCCCCCTCAGCATCTTACTTCTGCTTGTTTTCCCCTGGCCAGGTCTCAGTCCCATGCTCACAGCAGTGAGCAAGGTAAGATAGTAGATGTCGCGATTAGCTAAAAGGAAGAAGGGAGAGGGCGTTTTGAGATGGGCTCTACCAGTCTCTGCCTCTTGATGCCTGCCTTTGGCACAAAGGTGTTTGTGTAAGGAACCTCAGTTTTTCTGTCCTCTGAAAGATCTTTTAACTTCTGTCCACTTTGGGTTTTCATAAGGATGAATTCACCAAGGGCTATAAAATAGTTTGGATTTGGGTAAGCAGTGTTGGTTACCTGTTCTTGGTTTCTAGGGACAGCCATTGGATTTTGATTCAAAACACCTTTATTCCCTTCTTAAAAAAAAAAATTAATAGTCTACTCATACACCTTGGCAAAGAAAGAAGTACTATAGCAATGCCAAAATCATTAATAATGTTTCTAGTTCTAAGCTGAGAAGGACTGAAAATGACTAAACTTGATACTGTGAAATATTAGAAATTTCTCATTTGATTAAATAGATCCCAGCCTACTTTCCCTCTTTGCTCCAGGCTTTCAAAGTCTTCTTAGCACAGGATTGTAAGGTCCTAGATTTGCTTGTCTTCCTTATCGCATGCTGCTGTAACAGAAGTACCACAAGTGGATTGCTTTAACAAACAAATCTATGGCCTTCCACTTAAGGAGGCTGCACGGTTTAATGTAAGGTGCCATCGATAGAGGAAGTCTCTCTCAGTGTCCCGGTCCTATTTCTGTAAGGACCCTAACACAGAAAGTGGGTCCTAACGATCGATGCACTCTGCTCCCAGCGCCTCATTCTGAGTGCTAGTAGTTCCCTCTCCTCTACCCCCTCCTCTCTTCTTTTTCCTCTTATAACAGCGGTTCTCACCCTGTGGGTCGTGACCCGTTTGGGGCTCGAACGACCCTTTCACAGGGGTCGGCCTATTCATAACAGTAGCAAAATTACAGTTATGAAGTAGCAATGAAAATAATTTTATGATTGGGGGTCACCACAACAAGGAGAACTGTATTATAGGGTCACAGCATTAGGAACGTTGAGAACCACTGTCTTACACGGTAAAAATTGATACAGGCTATGTTGTTAGGGTCCATTGAGTTTATTTCAGCTCATAGCCACCCCATGCATAACAAATGAAGCACACCCCGGCCCTGTGCCATCCTCCCAAACATTATGTTTGAGCCCATCATTGCAGCCACTGTCGATTCATCTCTTTGACAATCTTTTTACCTGAGCCTCTCCTTTACCAAGCATGATGTCCTTTTCCAAGGACTGGTCTCTCTCCTGACAACGTCCAGCGTACATGAGATGAAGTCTCACCATCCTTGCTTCCTGGAGCATTCCAGCTGAACTTCTTCCACGACAGATTGTTTGTGCTTTTGGCAGTCCGTGGAGCTTAGGGAAACTCCCCTTAGACCAGATCAGGGCTGCGATGTTAGCAAGGGTGTTATCCCACCGTGATCTTTTTACTACCCATGGGCTGACCACTTCATAGGATTGCCCCCATCCTTACATAACTGCCTAATAACTTCATTACACAGCTGCCCAGGGAAATCATGGTCCAAGCAAGTTGACACATATTTGGGGAGACAATTCTATCCATGACAAGCTTGTACCGATTCTACTGAACCCCAGTCAGCTGTCTGTTTCGACTTCATGACCCTGAAGGAAGCTGCAAAACCAGGTTGCCCAACTTCATGATGCTTCTTTCATGCTGTGCCTAGATTTGGCTCAATCAATCTTGAAAATGAAGTTCAAGTGAAGAGATATAGCACGCCTGTGTGTTTAATGTTATATGCAGCATACTTTCAGTGGAAAAACTAGACTCCTATTATTTTTCCCATTCTCTAGCTTTTCAGCAAAAAATGAGGCCAATGGTGATAAGAAACTTAGAATTTCTTTTAGATCACTCCCTTACGGTGCATGCGCTTCAGAAAACCACATGCAGAATGCTCTGCTGACAGTGTGATGATTTTAAATAGAAATTTAAAAGAAGCAAATTCTTACCCTAAAAAGTATTGTATACTCACTTTATAAACTACTGTACACTTAAAACTGTCTTGGCTTTCATCTTAAAATAGAAACACAGGATCTGAGAAAGGACTGAGAGGTTCACAGTGGGCCTTTAAGAACATTCAGACGTGTCCCTTGAATCCTGCTGTATGTGTGCCTCTGGGTGGTTATAGCCTGATTTTATAGGCTATCCCTGTGACGTGTACATTCTTTACTCCTAACAGAGAGGTAAACTGTCTGGGCCCTAGGGCAGCTAGAAGGTAGAATTTCTGCTGTGTCCCATTGGCAACTGAGACAGTCGTGACCAAAAATCCCTCCGGCCGCTCTCATTTTCTCAAATCTTTGTTGTGTGTAATCAGTTTTTCAAACCGGAATTGAGAGTTGCCTAGTTAGCAATATAAATTAATGTTCAAAACTAATTCAATGATTGTATAATAAAGTACAGTGAATATAATGTTACTAAGGGATATGAGGCCAATTGGTGCAGAGTTTCATGATCATGTCCTCTTGATTGTAAAGGTTAAACCACGGTTCTCATTGATACAGCGTTACTGGGATTGGCATTTGAATGACACAAGTGAAAGTGTATGCACGTACACTAATAACTGACGTTAGATGCCAAGCACGGCCCTCAGTGCTTCACAGGAATTAACTAACCCAGTAACTCTTTGGCAGGGATACCATTCAATTCCCCGGCACCCAGGAGAAAGCAGGGCTGAGGGAGCATGTCGTTTGGGTGGTGGTGGGGCTGGTGGGGCTTAGTGCTGTCCGTCGGCCCAGACTTAGGGAACTCTATATCTAACAAATGTTGCCCGGTCCTAGGCCAACTGGGTACTCAGTGGCTCAGATCATTGTTGCAGCTAGCCTACAGGTTAAGCACCTTGTCTTTCAAACCTGGGGCTCATCTTCCATTAGTGCTAGAAACACTGTTCAGTTAGGATCAATAGGGTTCTCCTGGACCGATGGTCAGAAGTTGATCACCTGATCTCTCAACCTAGTCTGACTTAGTCTGGAAGCCGCCATGAAACCTGGCCTCCAGGAAGATTCCATGAGTGTTTGAAATAACAGGTGACAAACTTCTAGCATCACAGCGAAACACAAGCCACCAAAGGACAACAAACTAATAGATACAGTTAGAATTCAACCCAGTGAACCTGGCTCCAGAGTCCTGCTCTTTACTTCGGGGTGGGGGTGGGTGGGGGGCAGCAGTGGTGTTTGGAGGGGAGGTGGATACTCCCAACTTCTGTATTTGGAATTATCTCATACATGTTATTAGTAAAGACATCCTGCTCATAAGCTGTAATTATCATGTAGTTTAAGCAACGACAACAATACTTTAGAAAAAAAAGTGCAACACTCTTTAGAAGTGACCAATGAGTGGTTCGATTTAAGTGTCTTGGTGTAAGGGTAAGATGAAGCCCTGACACAGTAAGTAAGGAATTTGGAGAAATAGAGGAAAGGAGACGCATTAGGCAGGCAAGTGTAATTACTGTTCAAAACGACGGCAACCAGTTCTTTAGGTTGGACATAGAGTAAATGCTGGGAAGATTGATGGTCGTTTAGTGTTAGAAAGGTTCCAGTGTTGTTCTATAGATGCTATTCCCGCCCCCCCTTCCTAATCCTGTATTAATATATTCAGGCTACTTTCAGGGTAGAAAATTAATTGGCCCAAGACAGAAGCTTTTCCTCATAATTGCTTGTAGTTGAAAAGGCTTGTTGAGGCTCTCCACGAGTGAATTATCACCCATAGTCTGAAATCAATCAGTAGTTCTTGCAGCTGTTAATAAGCGATACTTGAAATGAATAGCCTCAGTTCATTTCCCCAGAATGTCCTCCTTTATACAATTTACTACATTGAAGTTGGAATGCATCATGGTAGTGATGTATGACATATGTCAGCAATAACCATTGCGTTATCTATTTTTAGCTTTAATCCTGTCCCCGTAGATTTACAGGAGTTCTTTACAGCTTGTACTCACAGCTTGGGTAGCAAGGGAAGCGTTTTGGTTATTTAGGTAACCCATCAAGAAGTATTATATATGCCTGTAAGCAGCGCAGAAAAATAGCAGGCACCGGGCCCGCCTAAGATCAAACTTGCTCATCAGCTGTTGAGTGTTGCCAGCTGGTGTCAAAGATTTGTGGATTCACCAGAGAGCATCATGCCACCAGCCAGTGGGCCTGGTGGAGTTTTGTTCCAGGTAGACCTTGGCTCTGCGGGGGGAGGGGGAGGAGGGGGACAGTTTTAAAGTGGTTTATAAAAATGGGAAGAAACACAAAACAATGGTGAACAATTATTACTAAAGAAGATTAAATGACCAAAGGAAGTGATCCTGGATTGGAAATACTCATTTAGTAGAAAAGATTGCTTCCCTTGCAGATAACATAGCATTAAAGTTAAGTAAGCCCAAGGGAGGGCCGATTTCACTGGTATCTTTTAGAGAAAATGAGGGGAGGTGCTGGCCCTCATTTAATTTCATCAACCGCCCCCTTCCCTACACACACACACACACACACACACACACACACACACACAGCTCTGTTCCTTTCTAAGGGAAATGATGATCAGCTCAAGTCCACACAGGACTCTGGGGACGTTCATTCTAAAGACATGACCCAATCTTCTATACCCGACTCGCTGAGTTAATGAGGCTAAGATTGGCATATATTTCCTCTTTTCAAGTATTAGATAACATTTTAAATAGGATATGCAGCATAATCCCTGGAGTCATATTAACTTGCGCTCTAAATGCAAGTCATTACAGTATTTCAAGATGCGAGTCCTCTGATCTGCCACATGCAGTCTGTGAGCTGCAGCTGCAGCTTGTGGGCCGTAGTTACTGCTGACACCAGGCTTACATGAAAGCGAGCACTCCGACCAGGTATTTTCTCTCTGCTATTTCAGCTCTCTATAAGTAGCTCTTCATCTGAGCCAGTATTTCAATGTCGAATTTGATTCCTTCCAGAGTGTCCTTCACCTTTTTGAGAAACCCCTCTCACTCCAAGCCACAGCTGTTAGGACAAGCGGAAGTAATCAAGGGCCTGGGTCTACAACCAGACAGCAGCCACATGGTACATGGATGTGCCCTTGTCTCCTGCTTGCTGACTATACCCGATAGAGTGTCGAAGTTCTTGTACTGTAGATTATCCTATACTGCTAAGACACTGGTTGAAAATAACTGTAGGTTTTAGATGCCTGAGTGTTGGCCTGCTAACTGCAGGGTCAGCAGTTCAAAACCCACCAGCTGCTCAGAGGGAGAAAGACAAGACTATCTGCTCCCATACAGATTTACAGCCTTGGAAACCCTAATAAGGGTCTCTGTGAGTCAGAACCCACTGGTGGCAGTGGGTGGTGATGGTGGTAGAGTGTACTCAGGTAAAGCGGGGTGTTTGCAGTCGGATCGGGGCAAAAAAGGCACGAGGAAAAGAAGGCGAGGTGCTCCAGAAGAGCTCGCCCGCTGTTTGGCTTTTGCAAACAACGCCCAGAAGGCTGGGGCAATGGCTGCCATTTTTATTCCAATAACTCCATATACAGTGCCAGGTGAACAGTTGGTGCGTAATACGTATTTGTTGAATGCCCTGCTATTACTATCTAAGTACTGCCTCCACAGACGAAAACAGTGAACACAAAACTAAGTGAGATGAGGGGGAAGGGTGGGGAGTAAATCTCTTTAAGATCTGTTAGGATGTAAAAGGGGAACTGATCCCATCTCTCACCCCTGCAACCTCTGGTCCATTTGAGAAATAAACTTAGAAGATAAATAAGGTTCAGCTTTTTGGTTTTATACTTGACTGAGGCTAGGTGAGAAAGCTAGAATCTGATTTA